AAAAAAAAAAAAAAAAAAAAAAAAAAAAAACCTGTAAGTATTTTCAGTAGTTTGGAGACCGTCTCTGAGATGCTAGCATGCCCGGGCCTCCGCTGTATGAGCAGGTTTCTAAATAAACAGGTATTATTTAAAAGCATGGTGTCACTCAGGGCTCCATTTCAAGGTGGGCCTGGGACCTGGGGGCCTGGCCAGCGCAGAGCCCAGAATGACGCGCCACATAGGGCACGCCAAGCCTGGCAAAGGCTTCACCCAGAACAAGTAAAACCACATCAGTTCAAAACAGCTTTCTGTCCAGGACCCAGTATAGCCAGAGGCGACTTGATGGGGACGACAGTGGAGTGAGAATTCTGTCTAGACAACCATGGACAGGACCTGTGAGCCCTGGTCACCGCCCCCCAGCCCACAGTAAGCACTGCAGTCATCACTGAGAGACTATTCTGGAACTTTCAAGGCTCGGTCGGCCCGTCCACATTCCTGAGTTTCCTGAAACAAGCACCATTTGCTTTTATACCTAAAAAAGGTCAGGGCACCAGGGGGCTTGGTTGGTTAAACTTCCAACTCTTGATTTCGGCTCAGGTCATGATGTCATGGGTCGTGAGTTCGAGCCCCACCTTCTGCTTGGGATTCTATCTCTCTCTCTACCCTTCCCACACGTTCTCGCTCTCTCTCAAAATAAATAAATAAACTTAAAAAAAAGTCACTTGGTGGGAAAAAGAGCTGACAAGAAGTGGACTGTGAATGTGGCACCTGAGTGGCTTAGTCAGTTAAGCGTCCGACTTCGGCTCAGGTCATGATCTTGCGGTTCGTGGATTTGAGGCCTGCGTCGGGCTCTGTGCTGACAGCTCAGAGCCTAGAGCCTGCTTCCAATTCTGTGTCTCCCTCTCTCTCTAACCCTCCCCTGCTCATGCTGTCTCTCTCTCAGAAATAAAAATAAATAATAATAATTAAAAAAAGGGGGTACCTGGGTGGCTCAGTCGGTTAAGCATACAACTTCAGCTCAGGTCATGATCTCATGGTTCGTGGGTTCGAGCCCCGCATCCAGCTCTGTGCTGACAGCCAGCTCAGAACCTGGTGCCTATTTCAGATGCTGTATCTCCCTCTCTCTCTGATCCTCCCCTGCTCACTCCGCCTTTCTCTCAGAAATACAACAACAACAACAATAACAAGTGAACTCTGAAGACATCGCTACTGAAAACATGCTCCACAGGGGCGCCCAGCCAGCTTAGTCAGTGGAGCAAGCAACTCTTGATCTCTGGGTCACGAGTTCGAGCCCCACGTTGGGCACAAAGATTACTTAAAAAAATAAATAAAAATAGAAACATTCTCTTTAAATGGACATCCTCCTTTTAGCAAATCTAAAGGCAAAACTTTTTTCCCAGGTGAGACTGTTACCTTGTCATTGCTTATTTCCAGAGGCTCCTGGGAACACAGACCAGAACCACTGAGGTAATCTTGACACATTTTCTTAACTCTTTTATGCAACTCTTCAAATTCCTTATACACAGCTGGGAACAAAGGTTTTGCTAGATGACCTGTCTGAACCTTTGTGAAGATAAAGGTGACAAGAAATGTTTAAACCAGGGGCAACAAAGTAGCAAATACAGGAGCTTGGGGGGGTGGGGGATCCAAGCTTGTCAAGCCGTCCGTGGCCTGTTGTCTCCTCTACCCCCCGGTGAGAGCCTGCGTGTGCCCGGCCTCGTGTGCAGTGGGGGCACCAGGATGGGCCACGCAGAGCAGACCGCCTCCAGGGTGACAGCTGCCGGGGGACCGTGGGCCAGAGCTCCAAAGAAGGGGAGGCCGGGGGAGCAGAAGGGAAGGTGGAAAGGTCCCGGGGACGGGCCAGCAGGCAGGAGGGGCCCAGGCCTTCAGCCCTCGGGGCAGCTGCGCTGGCACCTCCCGCGTCGTCAGAACAGGGTCACCAGGGATGAGGTGCCCGAAAGGAAGGTGACGGGGGCCGTGGGCTGGCCCTGGGTTGCTGCCACCACTTCCTTGCCTCCCACACGAAGTTAAACCAGGCAAGGGCGTCCTCGAGCAGCCTCAGTCCTGGCTGCACAGGCAGCGGCGGGGCCAGCAGGAGCCCCTCAGCTCTGTCCCGGAGGAGGGCCCGCTCTTTCTAAAACAAATGTGAATCGTGTCTTTCTAAATAACTTCAGACCAGCCCTGCGTCCTTTAGAAACACTCAGAAGACTCACCTTCATCAGAAGAAACTCGTACACGGTCACCACCTGAGCCAGCTGAGGCAGCACCAAGTCCACTAGAGCCTCTCGGTCACACTGGTGGAGAAACTGCCAGAAGAAAGAATTTAACAGCTTCGAAAGCCCCAAAACAGTCTCCCGGCAGCCAAAAAGTTGGTGCAATGAAGAATATAAAAGACCTCTAGTCCCCCCCGAAGCTCAGTGATTAAGCAGCTCTCTAACATTCTGTTTATCATCTCACTTGTCCATCCGCTAACAAAGTCCATGATCAATTGTGGACTCAAAGCGTGACTGCCCTGGGACAGCGTGTGTGGAGGGTGCCGGGCCCTGGGGACGGAGCTGTGTTCCCTACCCTCCAGGGCGCTGATTCGTGCCGGGGACGAAAATGCAGACAAGTCTGGGGCAGCCTCCGGTCAGGAGACCACCGCCAAAGGACAGGCCGAAGAGGAGACCCCGGGTGAATGCAGGGGTGGGGGGGCGGGGGGAGAAGGATGCGGGGAGGGCACCGTCCTCAGGACTGGGGGAGGAGTCGGGAAGGGGAAAGAGGAGTCATAGATGACTATGGGTTCGCAGCTGAGCGCCGGGCGGACCCCGGGCAAGTTAGGAAGCAGGTTTGCGGGCCCTGCTTGGAAGGGGAAGGCCGAGCGATGTACGGGGCCGCCCAGGTGGGGACGCTTGAAATCAGAGCTCTGAGGCTCCGGAGCCACTCGAAGAGCAAGTACAGGAAGTACGTGGGTGTCAGCGGAGGGAGGATGGCCTGAGAAACCAGGACAGAGGTCACCCAGGGCGGCAATGACATGGGAGGGGAAGGGACCAGTCTCAGGGACAGGAAATCTTAAAGGGCACAGGGAGCTCCCGGCCCTTTCAGTTCATTAAGTGGAAATAATGATTATGGAACCAATGAAATGAAGTAAACCTGGAACTTGGCACCGGGGCGGGGGAGTGTGGCCGAGCTGCCACACACAAAGTGCTCAATAGATGGCGGTATTTCACGTGTTAATGGATGAGTCAAGTCAAGGACCCCCCTTCCTCCTCCTCCTAAAAATCCCTCATCCACGAATCACTGACAAGCCCAATGAGAGACAAGCGAAGTCACCAGGGTGTAGACTTCCAGCTAGAACATATAAGCTCATGACGCTTTCTAGGAAAGCTTCCTCACTGAGAACCTCTTGTCCCCCGTGTGGGACTTTGGGGGCCCTGGCTCCCTGGTGGCCACTCAGAGCAGCCATCTCGCCAGCTCACTGCTTCGCACTCTCCCTGCTCCCGTTCAGCTCTTTACGACACCCAGCTGGCCACTACCTGGCAGACAGATCCCGCCTTGCCAAAGACAATCGGGATAAATTGAGGGTCCCACTTTTGTAAATCAGGTCCCCTTAAATCCACGAAGCCTACTTTCAAGGGACTGGAATGGAGATTCCAGGGTTCAAAACCTGAAACAAGATTTTGTACCTTAAAACTCTGAACAGAAAAATAGAAACTGCCTATTTCCTAAACTGCCTGTGTGACAGCATGGGTTACAGTCATTCCCAGGCGTGTGACGGCAGGCAGCTCTTGCTCTACTGAAAGCCCTCATGCTGTTCCAAGCAGGTAAGCCTAGAATCATTTCAGATGACACTTCCTGAGTTTATTACACACTTTGTCCAAATAGGTGTCAGGCGAGCTGTTTCACTGCTCTGGGACTAACCCAGAAACCCAGCAGCGGATCGGCACGCGCCAGGCCAAAGACGCGGGTTTCAAGACCAGGGGTGAAGAGCCACGCACCTCCTCGAGCCGGGCGCTGGCCCCCGAGGCGCCCCGTGCCCCTGCTGCGCCGGCCTCAGCAGGGGCCACGGCGAAGTCGTTTCTTCCGGGGCCTGGGTGTCCCTCTGATCCCACGAGGGCCGAATAACTTCCATCTTCCAGTTCAGACACCAAGGCCTCTTCCCCTTCCACAGACTGGCTACTCTAGAGGGCGTTGCATATGCCCAAAACAAAAATAAAAGGATCCTACTTTATACGCCACAGAGACAACCGTAGAGCCGCACAGTGTCTAAGCGAGGAACTTGGGAGATTATTTCCTCTTGGCATTATCAAGACATGCGAACTATAATCGACGCACCTTAAACTTTCCCAACAGAGCTCCTCGTTGTGATGCCCGGTGAGCATTAGCCAGCCGCGGGGTCTGGGGCGACAAACTGTAAGCCTGGCTGTTGCCCAAAATGAAACAGGAGACGTCTGACTGTCATCTTAAAAATGAACCTGAAGTTCAGTCATTCGTAACTTACCCGTGACTTTAAAAAATTTTACTATTTTTTATTGAGTATATTTCAAATACCATGGAATTCATACTTTGAACAGATAAAGTTCAGGCTTTCATGCACTGACAAGGTTGTGTAACCATCACCACTATCTAATCCCGAAACAGCTTCTTCCCCCTCTGCCCCCCCAAAAGAACCCCTGTACCAGTCTGCATCATTCATTCTTCCCTCCCCCAGGCCCCGGGAGCTGCTAACCCACCCTCTGACTCAAGGATTTGCACGGCTTTTGGACAGAATCTTGAATGCGACACTAGCTACTTCCTCGCTCGGCACCAACTCCCCCTCTGAAAACAGGAACAATACACCCGCATCTCCCAGGAACACACTTCACGTGGCAGCCGGCACAAAGTGTGTCCTCGGAACCCTTACGGAATGTTCCCTCAAGATCTTCACGACAGGGGCGCTGCAGGAGGAACGCCAGGTCTGTCCGTGGCTCTAAGTGCCATGAGCCTGCTCACCGGGAAAGGACAAGAGAGACACAGGCCTGGCCTGCCTGCACCCCTCCTCCTCGGCAGCTGGAGGCACCCCTCCCTCGCAGTCTGGACAGCCACCGCACCCAAGGCCAGGCCTGCACCCGGGGACTCTGGTATCTACACGCTTCTGCTGTGGGGTCGGATTTCGTCACTGAAGGAAGCAGGACGCGCCGCTCGGCCTGGCCATCCCGAGACACGCCTGCGCACACCTGCTGTCCCCTGGAATGATGAATAGTGCCCCTTTCACTCTCAGAATGTCTTGGCTTGGATGATGAACCACACATCACCCTGGTCCTATTTCAACTTAGGAAGTAGAGAGGGGGGCACCTGGGGGAGCTCAGTGGGTTAAGCCTCCGACTTCAACTCAGGTCATCATCTCACGGTTTGTGCGTTCGAGCCCCACGTCGGGCTCTGTGCTGGCAGCTCAGAGCCTGGTGCCTGTTTCAGATTCTGTGTCTCCCTCTCTCTCTGCCCCTCCCCCACCACACTCTGGCTCTTTTTCTTTCCCTCTCTCTCTAATATTTTTTTAAAATTAAAAAAAAAAAGAAAGGAAAAAGAAAAGTTGAAAGGTTTCTCAAAAGTTGGGAGTTTTACCAGCCATGAGGGGTGGAGAACTCTCCCCAAAAGGCAGCCTGGTCTAGCGGGTGGGCTTTGAAGTCAGAAGACCTACGTCTAGTTCCCACCTGGCAGAGTCCTTGACGGGGATGCCCACCACCCTCTGAGTCCCGCACACTTGTCTTGCACCTGCCTTTCAGGGCGCTCACGGGATGGAGAAGATTTAGAACATTCTGCCCACAGGAGGCATGCAATCAACAGTACACTGTTAGTGTTTGTGTTACTAGTACTGAGGTTTACGCTGCAGCAGAGAGTACTTTTGAATCCTCACATGGCTGTCCCAACGGTTCTGCCCCTAGACCTCAGTACAGATGTCCTGGGCCGAGACGAGATCTGTTCAGGCCCTGAGGAACCGATCTGTAAGCCAAAGCGGCCACCAGCCTCACCCCTCCTTCAGGAGCCCCTGTCCCACTGCAGGGAGTGAGGCGGCCGGAGCAGACGGGCTCTGGTGAACATCTTCCAAGTTGCTAACGTCACGGCCAAGTCAATACCAATGCTGGTTTGTCTAACGTTTCAGGAACTGCAAATATAATTACCTAGCCTGAAGCACGGACGCAAATAACGTCCAACACAAGTCAGAAGAGGAGGAAGCAGGGAGGTTCAAGCAAAGCGGGTGAGGGTGACCGCAGAGGTCTGCTGTTCATTCAGGTGATCCGTCCGCGTTTCGTAAATACCTGACCGCTTGCATACGGCACACAAGGGCACACCACACATTTAGGAATTTGAAATTGCTGTCCATCAATTGTGGCGTCGTGGTACAAAGTCAGGGTGACTTCAGCCTGCCTTGTCTGCCTGTGAGTTTCTGAAGGGGCAAAACGTGAGGGGGCACATCCCTGCTGATGCTCTAGGAAGCACCCCGTGACCATGGCCTCCAACTGAGACCTTTCCCAGGACCCACTGTGACTTCAGCAGCAAGAGCGCTCTGCAGTTTGGGGCGCCTGGGTGGCTCAGTCGGCTCAGGTCATGATCTCATGGTTCAAGAGTTCGAGCCCCACGTTGGGCTCTGTGCTGAAAGCTCAGAGCCTGGAGCCTGCTTCAGATTCTGTGTGTCTCTCTGCCCCTCCCATGCTCATGCTCTGTCTCTCTCTCAAAAATAAATAAACATTAAAAAAAAAAAAAAAAAAAGAGTGCTCTGCGGTGAGCATCCCTGACCAGAGCTAAAGAATTCACAGCCATGTCCCCATCGAACACACCCAGAGAGGCATGCTAGTGCACCACGCAGGGGGCACACGGCTCCTCGCTGGTCTGGCACTGGTGCAGACAATGGGGGTGGGGGGAGGCAGGCCTCAGAGCCCCTGCTGTGACCTTGGATCTACTCGAACCTTCACCTGAACCCCCATCAGCTACCATACAGGCTAACTTCGGGATAGGCAGGAAGAAGGACACGAAACATTACCTGCAGGCCACCCGGCGGTGACTGGGCCCCTTCCTCGCTTAGGAGGGCTGGCACGGGCAGCCCCGGGGACGCGGGGCCAGCTGCTCCGTCGGCGCGGCCCCGGGTCGTGCTCCTGCTGGCTCTCTCTGACAGCGACACCTCCGGTTCCAGGTGGCCGTGGCCTGGATTGAGTTTTAGATGCCGGGCCAGGCCCCCTTTCCCTATGTAGCATTTCTCACACATCTGACACTTAAAAGTCTTAGGCCTCAGGGAACAGCTCGACAAGTCAAAGAGCACCTGCTTTTCCCTCTGGTCCTCGTCTTCTTCCACGCTCAGCTCTGAGTAATCGTCAGAATCTGACAAGTGACCGTCAGCCAGATCCTCCGTTTTTATGAACTTATAATCTTTGGCTTTATACTTGGGAGGTCGGGATATCCGACCGGAACGCGTTTTCACTTTTAAAGATTTTTTTAGCTTCTCGGTGTGTTCCGTGTGCAAGCTGGAAATAAAGAAGTTCGCTGAACTGGGTGAAACAGATGTCGCCGCCGGCGGGTCAGAAGTTGACAGAGGGGCCAGCGTGGCGCCCTGTCCTTTCGGAGCCACCAGCTGGAGGGTGGGCAGTGGCCTCTGTACGAACACCCGGATGGGAGGCAAGTTACTCAGGAAGCGTGGCTGTGGACCAGTGCTCAGGGGGCGCTGTGCCTGGAGCCCCAGCACACCGCAACGCGGCTGGCACAGCCTGGCTGTCCCAGGCGGGAGGGTGGCCAGTAGGGGCGTCGGCCTTTCCGGATCTTTCATTTCTCCAGACATCACCTTGACACAAATGGCTTCCAGTTGCTTAAAGACAGAAAGAGAAAAGCATTACGCTTACCAACATTTCTACAATTTGGCTCTCATCTTAACTGTATTATCACACTTGTTTCTAAATTATAAAAAACATCTTATATAAAAGAGTCTATCTAGTGATACACTTTACATCACATCCATATGTGTGTGCGGAAATACTCGCACATACAAATTAAAAGTTCATAAAACCACTTACAATTTCTATACACGTGCCTTCTGATAGTATCTATTCTATATCGCTTTTTATTTTTATTAAAAAATGTTTTTAAATGTTTTTAATTTATTTCTGAGAGAGAGAGAGAGAGAGTGCGCGCGCATAAGCAGGGGAGGGTCAGAGAGAGAGGGAAGACACAGAATCTGAAGCAGGCTCCAGGCTCTGAGCTGTCAGCACAGAGCCCAATGCGGGGCTCGAACCCACGAACCATGAGATCATGACCTGAGCTGAAGTCAGACACTCAGACACCGACTGAGCCACCCAGGCGCCCCTCTACATCACTTTTTAAATACTAGCCAAGGGGAGCCTGGGTGGCTCAGTTAAGTGTCTTGACTTTGGCTCAGACCATGACCTCGTTTGACCTGTGCATCGGGCTCTGGGCTGACAGCACAGAGCCTGCTTTAGATCCTCTGTTCCCCTCTCCTCTTTTTGCCCCTTCCCTGCTCTCTCGCTCTCTCTCTCAAAAATAAACAAACACTTAAAAAAATACTAATCACAATCTGCTAAATTGATTTTGTGACCTAATAAGAAATATCCTTTTAAAAAAATTTTTTTAAATGTTTATTTTTGAAAGAGAGAGTGTGTGTGAGCGGGGGAGGGGCAGAGTGAGAGGGAGACACAGGATCCAAAGCAGGCTCCAGGCTCTGAGCTGTGAGCACAGAGCCTGATGTGGGGCTCGAGCTCACAAGCTGTGAGATCATGACCTGAGCTGAAGTTGGATGCCCAACCAACTAAGCCACCCAGGAGCCCCTAGAAATATCCTTTTTAAAGTAGATTTGTATTTACTTGGAATTCTTAGTACTTAAAATTGGATTCAGTTCGATACATAGGCTCATGTTTTTAAAGTGTTTTCATGAACTCCTAGAAACAAGGAAGCCATAAGGAGCCAGGTAACACAGGCTCCCCCCACCTGCCATAAGACATGCAGCACTTCCCTTGGAGGTAAAGCTCTGCGCTCTTCTCCTGGTCCGCGTGCCTTCCAGAAAGTGCTATTTGTCATCCGCATGCATTTTTTAGATTTCATCCGTAGCCACCCCCCAAGATATACAGTTTTGACATATTTTTAAACTTCACGTGAGTGAGAATTATCTGCTGCAACTCGGTGCAGCGCTTTCAGGTGTTCTCACTCCCTATGTGGCGTGTGAAATTCATCCACATCGAGGTGCGTAGCTCTCGCTTCCTCTGCAGTCTGAGAACGCTCTCCCGTTGATGGTCAAGTGTCCCAACGTCTGCTCAGAGCCTTCACGGGTGTGTGTGTACACGTGTGAGCTTGTCCAGGGCACACACCTAGGAGTGGGGTGCTTGTCTCCAACAACTTTTTAACATCTAAGGAAGCGTCACGTACACACACTTCCCGACGCGCAATCCTGCTTCTGAGGCTCCCGGAGAACCCCTGGCTCATGTGCAGAGATGTAGGTCCTGGGAAGGTCAAGGCAGCTCAGACTGCAACAGCAGAGCACCACGGAGGGGCGGGGGGGCTGCCCTTAGCGACACTCCACAGATAATTACTGAGCAGTTACCACATGCCAGACACAATGTTAGGGATACACCTGTCACAGGCTCAGGGGACAGGCAGCAAAAGACCAGGCGCATGGCCTCACAGCGCAGAAATAACCAGCATCGGGGCACCTGAGTTGAGCGTCCAACGCCGGCTCAGGTCATGATCTCATGGATCGTGGGTTCGAGCCCCACGTTGGGCTCTGTGCTGACGGCTGGAGCCTGGAGCTGCTTCAGATTCTGTGTCTCCCTCTCTCTGCCCCTCCCCTGCTTGTGCTCTGTCTCTCTCTCTCTCAAAAATAAACATTTTTTAAAAATTAAAAAAAAAGAAAGAAAGAATCAGCATCCTTCTCCAGGGAGAAAAGAGACAAACCTCATCATGCAGAGCAGGCTTTCCCAGCCCGGGCACAAGTGAGGTTTCAGACCATTGGGTCTTCCCTGTGGCGGCCTTCCCGGCCCTGCAGGGTGTGGGCCAGCGTGCCTGCCTCTACCCACTAGATGCCGGGAGCTCTCCCGCACTCGGGACAAAAATGTCTCCGGACACTGCCAAGTGCCCCCAGCCGAGAACCCCGGATCTGGGGCCACCAACAGGCCCTCTTTGGACTCAACCCCACGCCAAGTAGAGGGTCAATAAAAGGGTCACACGGCGCAGAATGAAAACTCTCACTGAAACCAAGCTGGAGTCTGTGTGTGTGTGTTGCACATGTACCACAAACAGCAGACACGACCTGCTACCCTGGGCGAGGAAGTGTGCAGAGCTGGGGCCAATCCTAGGCGGCCTGTGAATCAAATGACAACTATCTTTTAATACTCATATGTTTCACTTACTACCGGTCACTTAGAATGCCTAGCTCTTGAGATATGACCAGATAATGCCGTTACACACACACACACACACACACACACACACACACCCCAAATCCTACTGCTCTAGGGTTCCCTCAGTGGCAAAACTGGCCTAATTTTTAAACCGGCTCCTCACTAGTTTACCATGTGGGTATTATGCTTGATACTTGTTATATGTTATATATCAGCAACCTTTTACTAAGTCTCTCCGTGAGCCAGCACCTGCACAGAGGCAGGCCGATGTGGGTGAGGCAGCGGGTGACACAAGTGAAGGGGATGGAAAGGTACAAACTTCCAGTTAGAAAGTAAGTCATGGGGCTGAAAAGCGCAGCAGAGGGAGTGCGGCCGATAATGCTGCAGCCACATCGTACGATCACACGTGCGGTGCGGGACAGGCCCTGCACTCACTGTGGTGGGCGCTGAATCACGCGCAGATTCGTGGAATCACTCTGTTGTACGCCCAAATCTAATATAACATTGTATGTCAACTATACTTCCATTAAAAACAGAAACAAAAACCCAAGCCGAGCCCTAGCCTCACTGAGGAGGAGGGCAGTTTCCGGGCCACGCCTCAGTCACCTGCAGACCTGGGTGGAGGGGGGGGGGGTTGTCAGGATCTCCTGCCCGCAATCTGTACTTTCAGAAGCTCCACTGCCGATTGGGAAGGCAGACTAGGCTCCCTAAGGCCCACAGACAGGACACAATGACACCATGGGGGAGCAGGTGCGTAAGAGAGGCAGGAAGAGCATGGCAGGTGGCGGGGGTGGGGGGAGGGCCTGGCTTCCGGAAGGATTGACCTGAGAAGGCTAAACAGGATGTTGGCCAGGTGGAGAGGTAGTCTGCATGGAAGGAAAAACGCGTGAATGCACAGACGCACAAAGCATGGCACTGCATGCCGGAAGAAACTGAGAACTGAGAACGTTTCTACGGTTTGGGAACAGGGAGCGCGGGAGGGGTGTGAGCCCAAACCCGACCCACGGGAGTGCGTCCACTCGGTCCGTGCCTTCTGATCCACACCACCGCCCGCAGAGAACCACAAGGCCTAGACTCTCTAAATGCACATTCCACGCCCCCCCCCCCACTGCCTGTCCCCTTCCTTATTTTCAACTGGGACCCACACTTCCAACCTCTTTGACTAAGTCATTTCTGATCCCCTCAGCCAGAAATAGGTTCTCCTTTTCTCTAAATGCATTCAGTTCTTTATCTCTAGTTTTCTGACCTTGATTAGAAATTACCTGAGTCACGGTTTACCTCGTTGATTAGGTCATAACCTCCTTAGGTATAAGGGACACAGGTGGTTGGCCTCTGTGGCCTCTGGCAGAGCTGGGGCTGGCCAGGCAGCAGGATTACACTGTTGTGAACGAAGGCAGGATTTATGTCATCCCAATTAGATTAGCCATGGAATACCATCATGCTGCTTAATGCTGATTGAGTTTGCTTGTGTTTTATGGCAAGTGTCACTTTTGGACTCTTCAAGTTGCCACACCAAACCCAGAAAGCTGGGGTCACCTTCAACAGGTCTGGAGTGGGGATCAGATCCCGGGGCAAAGTCACCCAGCCTCTCCCAGCTTGTGCCTTACTTGTGAAGTGCTGACACAGGTATTTCCGTGTGCTCGCTGGGAGGTAAGCCACCCTGCAGCCGCCATCACCCTTCTCTTTTTTTTTAATGTTTATTTATTTTTGGGAGGGGGGAGGGGCAGACTGAGGGGGGAGACAGAATCTGAAGCAGGTTCCAGGCTCTGAGCTGTCAGCACAGAGCCGGACTGGGGCTTGAACCCACCACCGCAAGATCATGACCTGAGCTGAAGTTGGAGGTTTGACCGACTGAGCCCCCCAGGCGCCCCAAACAGCAGCCACCATCGCCCTTCCGACTACGCTTATGCAGGAGCAGAGCTAGAAAGCTCCTCCAAGCAGCCATCCTTCCTGTGAACAAGGGAACCAAAGCCCAAAGAGGTTGGGTGACTCAAGGTCACACCTCTAGGAAGCAGTATGGGCAGAATCACAGCTGTCTTCTCAAACTTTAGCAACACGTCTCCAGTGCCGGCCACCAACCCGAGACAACGCCAAGCAGCCAAAATCAGCCGGCTACAAAACAACAAGGAAGCCTGTTGATGCTATCCTCTCTCTCCCAGGGGAAGCAGCATCTCTCTGGCAACTTTGCGCCGAGAAACGCCAGCGTCATTTGCAACCCCAGCTCTGAAAGGGGACGTGGCTTTACAGACGACACGAAGGACGTCTGGCTTCAGGAGCTACCCCGACCCCTGGGCCTGGAAGACGGGCTCTAGTTTCCACTTGCCTCGTACCCAGAGCTGCGTGGCCCGGGAAGGAACAACATTGACCAGTGATGCTGTGTCGCCTCCGGGGGGCCCTCACGTACCTCCTCGCTAAGCGTACGGCAGGCGCTGCGCGGAGCACTGGTTACAGGTCCAGGCACGACCGCCCAGGGCGCTCCGTCCTGCCTCAACTGCTCCAACGTGGGCTTAACTCCGCCCCAAGTCCCCGAGACGGCACTCGCTGCACTCTCCACTGGTCCTTTTAACCCACTCACGCCTCGGCCCCGGGGTCAGGCCTAAGGGCTCCTCGCTCTAGAGCAGTCCCCCGTCCCTCCAGAGGCCGCCCCGCGTCCCCCACGGAGGGTGCGCGAGGCTGCGCTCCCCGCACCCAGGGCGGCGCTGGAACCCGGCGGGCGCTCACAGACGCCGGATGAATGGGCACAGGCCTGTGCGAGCGGCCGGGCGGCCGGGAGGCCCCGAGAGCCGGACGGCGGCCCCGCAGGCGCGTCGGAGGAGCAGCAGACGCTGGGGCGGTGACAGGCGGGGACGGCGAGGTGTGGGCCGCCCGGAGCTTTAGGGCGGGCAGCCCCGCTCGACACCCCCCTTCGGGCCTCAGTTTCCCTCCTCGTCCCCCCGGCGCCTCACCTGGGGCGGCAGCAGGCGCGGCGGGCGCGGGGGCTCGGCGCCGGGGCCCCGCTGCAAGGCGGCCTGCTGCGCCGCGTCCCGCAGCCGTCGCGCCGCGTCCTGCAGCACGAAGGGCGGAGGCGGGGGCGGCTGCGCCTTCGTCACCTGCTCCAGGACCCGTCGCAGCTGCTCGGGGCCCAGTGGGGCCACGCGCGCGGCGCTGCCGCCCTGTCCGGGGGGAGCCTGGCCGCCGCCGCCATCCTCGCTGCCGTCCTCAGCCTCCGGCTCCGCGTCCGCCATGGCAGCCAAAACCGGGACTCGAACTCGCGCCGCCAAGCGACGGCGGCTCAAATGTGCGTCACCTGGGACGGGGGCGGGGGTGGGGTGTGGGGGGGACTACGAGTGCCCCGCAGGCCAAGACACCTTCGAAGGCGACCGCAACTGGCAGAGCAGGCCGGTGGGCGTGGCCTGGATTGGCCCCGCCCCGTCACCGCTTCCCCCAAGGACTGAATCCGCCTATCTTCTCCTGGCTTGTCACTGATGTAATTTTCAGGTGTCACTCCTCCAGGAGCTGTCCAGGGCCTCCCAGGAGGAGGTCTCCGGAGTTCCAGACCCCTTCGCCTTTCCAACGGTCACACTATCCAAAAGTTCTCCACGTCATGCGCACTAGAGCCACCTGAAGATCCCGGCGGCACCGGGAGATACCTGGGTCCCACCTTCTGATTAGTAGATGTTTCAGGGGATCCAAAGGGTGCTCCCCTTTTTTAAAAATTAACGAGTTACACAGAATCTGAAACAGGCTCCAGGCTCCGAGCTGTCAGCACAGAGCCCGACGCGAACTCGAACCCACGCACCTCGAGATCATGACCTGAGCCGAAGTCGGACGCTTAACCGACTGAGCCACCCAGGCGCCCCTAAAATTAACGAGTTTTATTTTATTTATTTTTTTTAATATTTATTTATTTTGAGACAGAGAGAGGGTGCGAGCGGGGGAGGGGCAGAGAGAGAGGGAGAGAGGATCCCAAGCAGGCTCTGGGCTATCAGCGCAAAGAGCCAGAGGCAGGGCTCGATCTCCTGAATCCTGAGATCCTGACCTGAGTGGATAACGACTGAGCCACCCAGGTGCCCCTCTTTAATTTTTTAAGTAGGCTCCACACCCAACCTTAGGCTTGAGCTCACAGCCCAGAGATCGAGAGCCTCAACTCCACCGACTGAGCCAGCCAGGCACCCCTGAACTGTGCATTTTTAACAACTGTGGCTCTAAATTGTTCCCAGGTGGATACATCTACCCATACTGGAAGCCCGTTTAGAGCCAAGATGATGTTATACACAGTGCTCAGCACAAGCACCCGCTCAGAGTGCAAGATCAGGGAACGAATGACACATGAAGGAAGGAAGGGAGGGAGGGAGGGAGGGAGGAAGGGAGGAAGGGAGGGAGGAAGGAAGGGAGGGAGGAAGGAAGGAAGGGAGGAAGGGAGGAAGGAAGGAAGGGAGGGAGGGAGGGAGGAAGGAAGGGAGGGAGGGAGGGAGGAAGGAGGGAGGGAGGAACCTGACCACTCCTCTCCACATTTCCGTCCCGTCCATCACACGTCACAACTCTACCACTCTCTCTTCTTCAACCCAACCTTTTCACGTCCCCTCCTCTTCACTCGCCTGGTTCTGTGTATCCATCCCACTCAGTTTTGTAGTTGCTGGTGGGTGAGTGTTTCTCAACACCCCTCCACAGGGAGGGGAGTAGGGCCATTGGTCAACAGTTATTAAGCACCTGCTGAGTGAGTCACCATGCTTGCCTTCCGGACTGTCCTGACCTCTGTATACAGTCTAGGCAGGAAGAGGAGGAGGAGACTGGCATTTACAGTATAATATGATGAGTGCCTTGATGCCGATAAAAGAGGGGAGACTGGGGAGCCAGGCTGATGTCTCAGAAGGTTCTGGTAGACTTCTGGTCATTTTTCTCTCCACATGGCCATCATCATCATAATCAATACTCACGTTGGATTCACTAAGCTCCCAACAGTGCTCTAACTTATCAGTAGCCTCACTAAGGATCGGCCAGAGGGGAGATCAAATTTGTGGAATTTGTTTTAATCTTTAATCGTCTTTTTTTTTAACTTTGAAATAAGACCTTCTCACTCTCACATCCTCAGATGTCATAAAGGTCCTCTCTAACCCCTAAGCCGGAACTGCCCTCTTCATCTAGAACAGAGTACCCCATTTCATCGTTTTTGAGCCTGTCAGGGGAGAGGGGACTTTTCTTCTATGCTCTTAGGTTCAGCCTTTAGGGGCCTGTGAATTAAAGTAACAAAAGACAGATTAACAAAAGAAAATATAAAATTTAATCATGCATTAATGTACCTAGAGAATTCACAGAAAAATGTGACTCAAAGAGAAAGTTAGATGTGGACCTATATACTATCTTAAGAGGGGAAGGGAAGGGGGAAAGGGGGCTTGTGGGAAAATAAAAGCCTTTTAGGAAAGATAAATGGACCCTTAGCGGAATAGATGGGACATATGACAGCTTTGTGACAATGCCTGTATAGGTGTGATGCCAAATACTCTCCGGTGACAAGAGTCCACTTTTCCTGACTGGTCCCGGGGTGAATTCTTTTGAATTCTTTGGGATGGCTCTACTTTTAGGCAGATAAGACTTTTTAGGAGCTCAAATGCCTCCTGCTCAAAATAATTTTTATGCCACACATATTCTGGACCCTTTCAAGCCTTATTTGCAGCAGTGTGCTGCTCTGAGGACAGCAGTCTCAGCGGGCTCCTCCCCTGCTGGGTCCCTGCATCTGACAAGGTACCCAACTCAGATGTCCAAGGTGTGACATCCAAAGGGACTGTACTCTGTCAAGAGCCCCACGCTCTCCTTCTGAACTGTTTGGAAGAACAAGCACCCCATCAGTGGCATTTATGAGCCCTTTTACTACATGCTGAATACTTATCAAGGGCTTTATGCCTCTGGTCTGTGGACTTGAGCTGTTGCTGCGTTACATCAGAGCTTAACACATATTTGAGAAAAAGAGTGAGTGATTTAGTAGATGTTCTCACTGGATACTTTTCAAACACGGCTAGAGCTCCTACTAGACCCTGATAGAAGATGGCATCAGTCCTAAAATAACTGGCTTTTTGTGTTAAACTGTACATCCTGAATGCTCGCGAGACTTGAACCACAAGTGAGAAATCCACCCAGTCGCCTTCTAGCTGCAAATGCAGAACCAAGAGGGAAAGATGTGAAGCCTAAGATCTCCCTGAAAAGGAAGAAAGTAGCAAGAGAAGGTTTCCAGATGCTTCCACAACCATGTCTCACTGAAGACATGACCCGTGTTGGTTGGTCATTGTCTCCATGGGGGTTGGGATTTGTGTCTCCCTTTCACTGTTCTGCTTCCCACCTAGAATCGCAAAGGCCGAGCAGGAAGAAGGCGCTCCCTCAGTATTTGTGGAAGGAAGTAATTCCAGACGCGGATTTGCAATTCTAAGAACCATGAAAGCCGGGGACTCCACCGACGGCCCTCAGAAGCTCTGCATCAGGAAGCAACTGGCAGTGGCTTCTGAGAGCGTCCAAAAAAATAAAATAAATAAAAATAAAAAAACCAACCACCACCACCACCAACCCCAAGAGCAGCTGCTGGTGCGTCTGGCGGGCGGGGACTTGCAGGGACGAACACGTGCGGATCCTGTCCTTGCGCCAACTTCGGGGCAGAGTCCAGAACGATTATGCGGCGCCTCTCCCGTCTGCGGCTCGCAGCCCTGGAAAGGCATATTTAAAAAGAAAGAAAGAAAGAGGAAGGAAGGAAGGGAGGGAGTGAGTTGTAAAATGCATGGAAGGAAGGAAAAAGTTGTAAAATGCATTGAAAAACGAGTAGTAGAGAGGGAAAGTAAAGAAAACTGAGGTCTGTGGCCCGTACGGGGATCGAACCCGCGACCTTGGCGTTATTAGCACCACGCTCTAACCAACTGAGCTAACCGGCCACTTGACGCTCGGGCGGCGCCGTCAAGTCTATGAGGTGTCTACGCCTGCGCGGGGTCGCGGGCGGACTCCGAGCCGCCGTGCTCTCCGCTCCCCGGCGCTGACGTCATCCCGGCGGTCATCCCTATTGGCCAGAAGAAGACACGGGGACTCCTTAAAGAGAATAGAAGTGGTTCCTTAGCACGAACCCGAGGTTCTCACGCGCGAATGCAAATTATACGTGGGAGGCTTGGCTCGGGAGTAGGATTTTCAAACATTGGGACTCAGTGCTATTTTTATGTATCCCCGAGAATCCTCCCAGCGTGGAAACTTCGTGTGTCAAGGGCCCTTGGGGTGGCTAAAGACAGCTTAGACAATGCAGAAAACCGGATAGAGAACCAAGGAACCCCCGGATCCCCCACCGCCCGAAAACAACGGCCGCTTTGGTTTTGGTTATCTTTCCTGACAATCTTTTTTTCACTGCACAGGTTTATTTAAAAATATATATTCAGCGTTCAGTTCAACCTTGTTAAAAAGAATATAATCTTTCATCTTTCTTTTTTTGTACTTCTTTATCGTTATCATATCCCTAAGAAATTGCAAATGCTTTTTAAGTGGATCCTTAATGTCCCCCCGCCCGTTTTTAATGTCCGCAAAATGTCATCGTTTTGCCGTCTCTTGGTAACTAGCACATGAATAAATCATGAAACGGTTGCTGGGTGGGCAACGGGTAGTATCCACTCCAAAGGGCTAGTGCCTGAGTCCTTTCTGGTCTCCGAGTCCCTGACCTGTGCTCTGCGAGTAGGAGAAGGGAGCCCCAGCTTTTCACATTGTCCATTCCTGCGGTCTCACTACGCAAAAAAAAAAAAAAAAAAAAAAAGCAGATGTATCATCAGCAAGCCGCGCAAGCCCAGTCTAGCTGATCTTAACAGAACAGATGTTATTAAAAGGAGGTGTTGAGCCAGGTTTCCGCAACACCCACTCCTTAAGCCTGGCAGTGCCCTGACCCCAGGGAATCCGTGGTGAGCAACGCAGACCTGACCCTTCCCTCACCAAGCCCACAGTTTAGCAAACACAGGTGCTAAGTTAGTATGGGTGGAGACACTTAGGCAACACACTGAGTTAGGTAAACAGTGCCGGGTGCAAGTTTGGGCCAGGGGTTTTTTGTTTGTTTGTTTCTTTTTACTTTATTTCTGAGAGAGAGAGAGAGAGAGAGAGAGAGACAGCGTGAGTAGGGGAGGGGCAGAGAGAGAGGGAGACACAGAATCCGCAGCAGCTCCAGGCTCTGAGCTGTGAGCACAGAGCCCGACGCGGGGCTCGAACCCACGAACTGTGAGATCATGACCTGAGCTGA